ATGTCACGACCGGAATCAAGTCATGTGCACCCTATAGAAGTCCAAGACTATATATCAAAGAATGGTCTGACTGGGTGACCTGCGTCGTTGAGGAATTTCCTTTGTTTCAGTCTCAGTCAGTCAAAATTGTAAGTAGTTGAACTTGACTTTAATATACTTTAATAATAATACGTACAAGCAAGTGCGCAGTACAAGCAATGAGTCAGTGGTGCGCTTCCGCTGGCTTTAGGCCGCATCCTGCTCCGGTCCTCTTCCTCACTGATCTTGACCGCTTGCTGCGAAGCGCTCGCGCGGGTGCTGCTCTTCCCACTTCAGTGGCAGCAGCTCGTCTAGGGTTCTAATGACAATATATTGTTTCGAAGGTACTCACCTGCCGAGGAACACCTTGGACGAGGGCTATTGCAATTTTCTGCAGAAACCGGGGGTTCCACTTCCCATGTTAGTGAGTCGGAGTGTACACGGTTCTGAGCAGGGGCACGAAAGGTGTTCTGTGGTTTTCTTATATAGGCTCTTTAGAAGGTTTCCGAGTGTTCTATCAGAGGATGGCCTTGCTGCTGTGGCATCTCCTGCGGCATCCTGCAACAAGGGAAGTTCCGACCCTGGTTTCTCCAACTTATAAGTATGTAAATTATCCTTGTTGTGCCGCAGCCATTTAGTCAACTCCACCTCACCCTTGCCATCTCTGTCTGACCTCCCCTGCCACCGCCAAAGAGATCGACCTCTCACATCACTCGCCGCCTAACTGGACGAAGGGCAGCTTCTTCTTTCTCGCTTGCCCTGGACCTGCGGCACATCGGCGGCCCGGTCTTGGATTCCTTCAGATCTCGGATCCCCGGACCTCACATCGGCCGTGCTCCGTCGGCGCCGAGGCACGGCTACTCGCCCTTGGCCAATCACCAGCAGCTTCACGATCCCAAGCCGTGGCTCCTGGGCATGCGTCGCGAGGTGGAGCTGGGTCGAGCTGCGCTGGTGGCGGCACCCACAGGCGAGGTCTACCTCAGATCAGAAGAGCCAAATAAGGGAGAAACAGGAACAAAAAACCGACCAGGACATCACATGAATCATGCCCCTGACCAGCAACACTAAGCTGTTCCCAGTTGGTTTTTGTGTGTCCTTGTGCTCCGCTTTTGGGGCTTGTTCATGCCTGTTCCCTTTGTTCTTCAACAGGTCAGCCCTGCTCGGTCTTCGACCTCGATGCCGGACACTGCACGGTGCTGGAACCCTCCTGCGTGGAGCGTCGCCTCCCCGAGCTGCCGACGCAGCTGTCTCGCCCGCTGCGGGCGAGGCTCAGCCGGCTTCGGGCGAAGGCGGGTGCTCGCATGGATTCAGAGAGATCAGTGGATTGGATCAGCCCTGGGTTCGGTTGCCTTAAGTCTCACCCTGTCCCAGACCATCCATGTCATGTATATAGAATAGTTTACCCTAGGGCTCCTGTCCCATCTCCTCAGGTTCGGTGGTTAGAGCCCCCTGGCACCCACCCCAACCACCTTCGAAACGGAGGTGGGCCAGGAGCCCTAGGGTCAGTGGTGGATTGGATCAGCCCCGGGTTGGGTTGCCCAGGTTTTTGACCGGAAGGATCCCCGGATAAATTCCGGAGCGGTGGTCATTCGTGGTGAAGCGACCACCCCCAAGCTAGGTGTCCCCTTTTCATGGTGGTATGAGTCATGTTTCTCAAGGACCCACCTGGAGAGCCCTGGACCAGAATGGGGTGAACTTTGTGGAGTTTCGGTGTGGCAGGGAGGCGGAGTGTGGTTCTCGAAACTGACGGGTCAGAAGAGACCACATGATCACAGCATAACATATCGTAGCATGTTGCTATTGCATGGTTTCAGCCATTGTTGGTTCATGTTGAGAAGTTTTGGGCGCCAAACCGCGCATTCTGACTCACCAACGTGGGTCCGTGGATGGCGATGCTCCAAAGACCCAAACCGCGGGGTACCGTTGCTTTGGACGTCCCGGCCTCGCCTTGGCTTCAGCCTGCATGAGGCTGGAGACTATCTGAACGATGCCGCTTTCGATCACGATGCTTGGATTGCCCCATGAAGGGGGTTGATGAAGGAACCGAAGGCCTCGGAGGTGCTGAGAGGTGATTGAGAAATGGCACCTCATGATGTCTGACATAGATGGGGATCCACTACTAAACCACCGAACTTGCAGGCCCTGGCGCCATCGATTCTCAGCCCCACCTTTATTTTTGCTCTCCCTTGAAGACGAACATGGTACCTAAAACCCACTGGTAGGTAGAACCATCTTCGGCCCACTTGGATGGATCTTAGGTTTCGGGAGGGTACTCTAGTACACTCCACCTAGTGATGGAAAGTCAACTCCCATGATGGTACATTCCACATAGTGAGGGAACCTCGATTACTCCCACTCCATGTAGTGATAGAACATCTGCACTTGCTGGAAGAGTCATGGCTGCGTGGACGGCACTGCTTCGAGTTCGGATGACCGTGTTCTGAAGACCAAACAGGTGTTGAACTTCGCTGCAAAATGATTCCTTCACAAAAATGAAGCGTATGCTAGTTGTTGGACGTTGACCGTTGACCCCCTAAACACCAGCATCCTCCCTGCCAGGTCACCGTTCTTGAGACCTACAAAAAAGGGGCCCAAGAAGCTTCAAGAAGCTTCTAGATTCTCAAGAACACCTGGCATGGAGGATGCTGGCAAAAAAAGAAATGATGACACACCCCTCAGACCTGACACCTCAGGTCCTTCAGAAAACCGGACCTGGCACACCCCTCAGACGGTCGGTCTGACACACGCCGGGCCAGGGCCTTCACACCGGGTCCGACCGGTCGACCGGTTGAGTTCCAACGAGGCCGAGCCGGTGGGGTGGAGCAGCCGGTTCGCCGGTTCGCCGGTTCAGCTGACTTTCGATGATTCGAATGCGAGGAGGTGGGTCGTGAAGAGGTGGATGGAGAGATGTGATAGTTCTACCCAGACGCTCCAAACAGCCCTTGGTCCCTCAAAACCTAGGGATTTGAGACCCCATATGAGAGCCCATGAGCGTCTGGGTAGTTGTCATGCCTGCCGTCACCAAGGAAGTGCAGGTGATCTTTCTGCAATCCTTAGCGCCTCTCCTGGAGCTACGGCCCTTCATCGGGAAGGCCGAGCAATCTGACTGCGCAGCCTCTCGTCGTGAGTGGAACTTTGCCAGAAAGGGGAACCCTCCACCAACTGCATATACCATCCAATAATTGTAGATCATACCTGGACCCTCCAAAGTATGTGACATGACCCTATAAAAAATAGAGGTACGACTGAGTCCTCATTTTCCGAGGCACGAACGGGTCGACTCCAGGTAGATTCCCTCGTGAGTGGGATGGCCCCCTTGTACTGTGCCTCCCGCACACCATGGACCGCTGGGACATGGACCTGCCGTATGGCGCCCATACGCCCAGGTCTTTGATGCTCAAGAATATGTTCATAGCCAAGAACTGGATGCACAGGCCTTTTGCCGAGCATGGGTGCCTTGGCTCTAGTGCTCATGCATGCTCATGCATTCACAGTGCTCATGCAAGGGATTCCTTTGAAACACGGTGTTGGGATGTTTTTCAATTTGCGTTCTTTGATCAACTAAATCCACATGTCAATACTCGGGCAGAAATAGACATGGGAAGCGGACACAGGGAAGCGCATACTAAAACATGGACCTCCGTTGAACCCCTTGATCAAAGGCGACATGCCACACAAAAAGGCTTCCAAGGCGCTCCGGGGCTTCCAAGGCGCTCCGGGCTCCGGGCTCCAGTCGTACCTTCTGAAAAGGGTGGGACTGGGGTGGCTTTGGCGAGTGCAGTCGTACCGATGGGTCCTTTGCACCAATGCCTGTTGGAGCAACTCCTGCCCTGCCACCCGACTGAAATCCCCAACACATGAGTCGGACCTCCTCCCTCAACCCAAGCGAGACATGTTCTGACCTGCGCCTTCGAGAAGGAAATACCGCACATCTGCGGAGAGCCCATTTTTGGCCCGAGTGACCCGCCAATCAGCCGCCAGTCACGCCATCTACTTTAGCGCGGGTTCTTTTTTTCCCGCGGAGCCCAGAGTTGCGATGCGCCACCAGACTTCCAAAGCAATGAAGACTGCAGACTTCCGTGGCTGGTGGGTCTTGACCAAGCGACCGAAGTCCGGAGAAAAAGGCATCGGTGCATTCCTCAAGCTCACGGCGGAATACCCCACCAGCTTCGCGGCATATGTGGAGCAGATGCGTCGCTTGGTTTGAAAATATGCGGTCTGGAGAGAAGTCCAGGTGGTGGAAAAAAGTGCTTTTGGGTCCGTTTTTCACTGGATTTCGATAGATTTGGCGAGTAGCAAACATAATCAAGGTAGAAACCTAAGGACTCTAGCAAACCGAGTTGCTGATCCTCACTTTTTGGTATCTGCACCCCACCAGCCCCTCCAGTTGACTAACCAAAGAATGGTATTCCAAGTTTGAAGGGCTCCAAGCTTGTACATCCTGAGGAGGTGTGACTGGGGTGGGTGCCAGAGGGGTCCAAACACCTTGTGAGGAGGTAGTTAAGTATACTCGGAGTGTGAGGGTTCCAGAGGCTTCAAGTGAACTGGCGCCAGTGAACAACACCCGTCGTTGGATCCCGAGGGCAGGCCTTTTCATGTCAGGCCGCCATGTCTCCTGTTTCTGGGGAATTGCTGGTCAATGACTGCCTACCTGGCAACCATCACTCCCAATCGACCTTGCGAAGTCTTTTGGAACTCCAGCCGGACCAAGCTGAAGCCCAAGCTGAAGCCAAGCTGTTTTAAACCGCCCAGCTGCCAAGGTCAGGCCTCCTTTCCAGATGGACCTGACGATGTGGAGGCCCCGCCTGTCGGGCGGCGAGTCATCATCAGCTTGTGAGTGGCGTCGGACGGGAGGCGCCGGAGGATCCTGTGGTGCACAAGGCTCCGGGGTGACTGGACCAAGGCAACTTTCTATCATGTTCTATCTTCATAAAAGGCGGAGTGTTCTATCTCTTCCTAGAGCCTGGAGGAGTGACTTCTGTTTCGATAGGAAAAGACAACATTTTGGGTGGGTGGTCCAAAATAGAGGTCACCGAAAGGCTCTAGGAGTGCTCTAGGTCAATTCTTGCATGAGGTGGGTGCCATTGCGACTCGCAGCTGGAATGTTGCGGGCGCTTTTGAGCACCATTTGAAGATTGCTCGTGCTGTGCTCCTCAACTGGTTTGGTGGCAAATCCTGGGAAGACACAGCCCAGAAGTGCGCACCAATGCCATCCAATTCCTTTTGCTTTTCCACATGGATCAGCGACTAGGCCTAGGCTCACTTCCCAGGAGGCCGCTTGACTCGTGAAGCAGTTTGACTGATTTTTAGGAGAGATGTCATGGCAGAGGGGTATCAAGGCACAGCTGTGGGTTTGATCCCCAGGAGCCAACTGTTGGTGCCCCTGTGCATGCATCCATATTTATTGGAGATACTTGACCCTCGTGGTGGACCACGAGTCCAACGAATCAGAGCGGAAGCGAACGGCCAATTGTGCTTCTCTACAAGTTCTCCAGTGCAACTCTTTCCCCAACATTTTCCAATGTGCAGTTCTGTCCGGGCCCGCCGAACCGTGCGGCAGAGGATGTTAGACCCTGGTCGATCCGGGCCGCCCGCCCGATGGGGGATCACCGACAGATGTCCAATTGAGCTGGTGAATAGGCCGGTGGCCACAGGTCCCAACTGCTATCCTCACACCTTCTCGGTATGACTTGGGCCTCCTGGCACCTACAGAGTAGTGAGTAACCATAGTGTCTTCACTCGTTTTCTCACAGGATCCGGCAACAAAGAGCATTAATTTGTCGTTTGGAGCACTGTGATTGACCACATCAAGCATGTTGCCAGCTGCAAGCTGCACTTGCACCACAGACCTTGTCACCAGGGCGGCCCAACCGATCGACCTTCGGGCGCGATGCATGGGTGTGTTAACCTGCATCTTGTACAGAAGAGCCATGCGGAGCTCCAAGCTCAAGACCCTGTGATGTTCACGTCAAAAAAAGCTAGATCATCCACCGGTGAATCACACATAGAAGTGGAAGATTGGGAAATGGATGAAAATGGCCACTGAGAAGACCAGTTTTCCCTGGTGGTATTCCCCTTTCATGTTTCGCGTGAGGGCGGAAAGTAGAAGGTGGTCACTTGGTTTCCAAGAGCCTTTAGGTAATCCCTAGGGCTCCTGTCCCATATCCTCAGGTTCGCTGGTTAGACCCCCCTGGCACCCACCTCAAGCATGTTCGAAACGGAGGTGGGCCAGGAGCCCTAGGGAATGATGGAACTTTGGTTGGTTAAAACTTATCACGCGTGAAAACATGTTTGGAATTTGGAACCCTCCCAGTATCTCCCTAACTACTGTGGCCTTTCTCTGATTTTTCTTTAATCCAAAAACAGGGATCAGGCATGATCCCGCGGGTTATGCACCCTTCGTAACCCAGCAGTTTTGGTTTGGCAACTCTTTCGCAGTGCTACTTGTTCAAGGCGCCTGGTGGTTCAAGGCTGGTGATCCCACAGAGAACACCGGTGATCCTCTGAAGAGGTGGACAGTTCGGTGAACCTCTCGGAGTGGGGAACCGGTTTGGGACGCAACCAGTCTCTAGGAGGCGTCGTCCCACGCCCAGAAAAGCACCTCGGTTCGGGGGTGGTTGGATGGAACATGCAGTCAGGCGGCGTTCATTGACCACCCCTTTTCCGTGGTGGCCAAGAAATGGTTGCCCAAGCCACTTGTGGGAAGACCGTGGGCGAAAACACCAGGGCACTGGTGCTCCTAGTGACGCAAAAGAACTTCTCTTCTTGCGATCAGTTTCCCTGGCCGCAGCCACAGGTCGAAACACTAGCCTTTCGCGAGCTGCTTTGCGAGGTGAATGCCCAAAAGCGTGGCAGGATCTTGCGCCTGGGCGAGTTCCGTGCGTCATGAGGCGTCATGTGTGTTCTTCTCGGACGAAGAGAGGGTTCATGGAGCTTCCCCAGAATGAAGAACATGCAATGTTGAAGGGTGCCACGGTATCAGGGCTGTATAATATCTGAATATGGAATTCTTGCAGGTCACATTGTAATATAAATGCGGGTGACACCTGTCGGATATCCTCGACGATTTGCATTCATCTTGCCACATGGCATGCCCGGCTCGAAGTCCGACTTGATTTCTTGACCCTAGGGCTCGTGTCGCACCTTCTAAGAAGGTGGGACTGGGGTGGTTGCCAGGAGGGTCCAAACACCTGAAGAGGTACGACTGGAGCCCAAAGGGGCGACCGAAAGGGGTTTGGTTTCGGGACATTCCCCCCCCCGGCTGGGTGGTTCAGCGAGTTCGTCAGAGCCTTCGTCACCGTTCGTCGACTTCCCGTTCGTCGACGAAGGTCCACATGGCTCGACCTGTCCACCGAGAGAGTTCTCCTCCACCCCAAGAAAAACGACCAGTGTCCTTCCAGAGAATTAGATCCATGTGTGGTATAAGACTGACCGTTTAGCACATTTTGTGGTACTTACATTGATCCTTCTTTCAACCAACCCAACTTGGATTTGTTCCTTGGCGGAGCCCACGGACGTGTTCAATTCCCTTGCGGTCCATCGTTTTGAGAACCAGGCTTCGCTCACCTGCAGCCAGCAACTTCCTTCCGGTTTTGCAGGTCGTCCCGTTTGGTGGGGCGCTGTAACTCAAAGTGATTCGAGACGTTTTGAGCTCCAACTTAACTATCTCCGTTTCGAAGGTGGTTAGGGTGGATTTGGGGTGTCTATAACCACCGAACCTGAGGATGTGGGATTATTGCAGGGGAATCGTTCCTAAACCTTCTCAGCATGGTGACCGGAGGGCTGCCGCCTGCAGCTCGAGGTTCGAAGAAGCCTTGCTGCAGCTGGAGGGCTCGATCGTTGCGGTCACCGACCCAACTCCGAATGCGGCCACCGACCTGGTCGACGAGAACGCGCAGGGCTCGATGCTGCAGGTGCTGTTTTTGTTGTGGTTTCAGAGGTTCGGTGGCACGTTTGGGCCCCCAAGTTAGGTGGTTCATGGCGGCATGGAACCCGCTGGCGGGAACCCGGCGGTGAACCGCCGAGAAGACCGAGAACGATACTGTTTGACCTGAGTTCTATTGAGTTCTCATGAATAGATTGCGAAACACGACCAATGGGACTGGCATAGGACTGCTGCCATTGACCCCAGGTCAACCACCCCTGGCCGTTTCTCGGCGAGTGTCTGGGGATTGTGAAACCGATGCGAAAGCACGACCCACATGATTGGAGTTCAACTCCGGAGGTTGGTCCTGGTATATATATATATATGGTCCTGGTATATATATATATGTCCCGGTGTGTGCGCGTTTTGGGCGGTGGCCAGCTGGGTAAATGTAATCCCATCCTCCTATTAATAAACACGGCCCCCCCCCCATTAAAAAAACCTCGGTCGCATTTTTTCTAGTAGGGGGTCCCTGAAATCGGGGGGGCCCAAAATAGGGTCACCTGGAAAGAGTTTCAAAACCAAAAAGTAATCCAGGAACATTTTATATAAAATCCTTTATTAAACTCGTATCAAAAATGCAAAAAAACGCCAGATCGAAGGGTCTTCCTTTTCCCCTACAAAAACCTTCATTAGAATAGTGATTCTTCAGTAGACTAACAGCTAAAGCTTTCGAAAGGTGATGTCGCTGTGCCATGCGGTGTTGCATGACCTCGGTGGCAAGTGCGTTTGCGTGAGTCCGTGCCATTGAGGGAAGGAAAGCCTGCTGGTGTAAGCGCGGCGTGTCATGGTGGAGTTTTGGGGAACCTAATTAAAAAAACTACCCCCAAAATCGACCATGTTGGTAGTTTAGTAGCGTTTGAAAGGGCGGCAATTTAAAACCAAATATAAACCGAATTTAGGGGTTCGGACGTGGTGTTTTTTTAATTGGGGAGTGTTTATTAATAGGAACTCGGGATTATTTGTGCTGCACACGTGAAGGCACCCCAAGTAAGCTTCATCACCATGCATGTATTGAATGGTGCTCCTTAGCCTTAGCTGGCAATAATTGGCGCTGACTTGTGGTTATTTGTGGTTCTTTCGGGGTGTTCCACGTGACCGCCCAGTGTGTTGGAACCTGTTTTGTACATGTTCTGGAAGGCTTGCGGCTTAGCCCATTCCTATACCCTTCAACATGCGCTTTTGGATCCAAGACCCTTGGGCCGCTCATGGTTCCAAATTCCAAGCCCAGTCTCCTCACACTTCTCTCCATGAACCTCGCCTCCGGACACCGCCAGGGCACGAGCCATGCGAGCTCGCAGCTGTTCTCGGTGAGCTCACGCTTTGAGAGACTCAGCGAACGCTCAGCCAATGGAGGTGAAGTGACCGTAAATAGGACCCGTAACCTGGGGTACCGGTTCCTGGGATAGTCTATAGGGTCCTTCCACCTCTGTTGGAGCTTCGTCGGAGAAAGCTCCTTTTTTCTCAACAAAAGTGAGGTCGTTGGCTTGCCGCTTGCTGGGCTGTATAGTATAGCAGCCATATAGTATAGGATGTGGTGTTGGTGGTGTCGCATCACACGCATCGCCATACGATCGTTGAGTAGGAGCACCATTTTGTGGCGGTCGGTTTTGAAGGTGATGAGGGAAGTGTTGCAGTTCCTGAGCAAAATGGGTCCACGCTTTGGAGAGCGCCAAGCTGAAGTGATCAGCTTTGGCAGAAGTCGCATTGAAGGATTCCCAGGAATTGGGGCCCTCTCCTCAAATATATCACGCAAAGAAAGCACGTCTTGGAACACCTGCTTCTTGCTGTTTCAGCTGTTTGTTCAAAACTCAGATACTCACTAAGCTGACCCAGGGACACCCGCAGGTCAAAACATGTGCAAATCCTGCAATCCGGAAAGGAAGGGAATGGAACTGAGAGGAAAGAAAGGGGGAGTCTCCTCACGAGAACTCCATAATATGGATTTAGAAACTCCCCTGGAGTCTCTCCCCACCTACTATAGGTGGATCGTGTTTTTTTATTCGCAGGTGGTCATGTGGCACGGCAATTCTATGCAATTGCTATTTGTCGTTAAACTAAAGAAAACCTCCCAAAGACTCCGTGGAAGAAGTGACCTAGACCCAAACCCGTGAATTGGTGGGTCTCCCCGTTGGTGCAGACACACCTAGATCTTTTCTCGCAGTGTTCCAGCTGCTCCTTATGCCTTCTTCTCCCCCTTCAGCCAAGCCAAAGGTCGACCGCATCTCGCGCGGCGAGTTCGGCCTGCGCTCGCCCGCGCGAGAGCGAACACCGCAGCGCCGAGCCGCCGAGGAGCTGCAGCTCAGAGCTGGAGGACACTGAGACGGAGGCCATCTTGGAGCTGCGTGGGAGGTCTGGACGATTGCTAGGACCAAGCCTCGAAGCTGGGCGTCCAAGGCGATTCAAGTTGGATCCCGCCACGGCACAGGGACGAAGTAGGAGAACGAGGGGGTCCTGTCCTTTTGTGGACATTGCCCCATCTGGATATCTCAGTGAATGTGATCCTTTTTTTGGACCTGACTCCGTTTTTCTTTCAGTGGTGATGTCCATGTAGGATCTTGATGGATCTTGATGAATTGCTAGAATAACCCTCCCATTTTGGATTGAACATGATTGAACAACCTCTTCAGGCTTGGGGATTTATTCATCGAGATCCTACATGACCCCATCCAATTTGAGCCTGCGATGGTGACGGCGACGGCGTTGCTTAATACCCCCGGGGAAGATGCGACGGCGTCGCACCACCAATGGCAGTGACCAAGTGCAAGGTGGATTTGAACAAGTAGTATATAATTAATCTACCTAGAACCCAGAGGAGTGACCTCTATTTTGATTGGAATAGGGCCATGCTTTGGGTGGTTGGTGGTCCAACAATAGAGAGAACACTCAGGCTCTAGGTATTTATTTACCTATATATCAATGCCATGCCAGCAGGCGACCGTCCAACCAGGGATGCTTTATACCATACTCCCTGTACCCCGTGCCACGCCACACGCACCACCTGCCACGCCCTGCCATGCCCACCGTTTCGGAGCGACCGGTTTCTCAGGATCTCCATCTCCATTACGACTCCGACTCCGCCTCATCCGCAGCTGTCGCGCCGTCCCGGTCGACAGCATCGCCCTTGGCCAAGATGGTGCACGTGGTCCGGCGCTTTTGGAAGGAAAGACCGCTGGAAAGACCAGCTCCGGTCACGTGTGAAGGCTCTTGGTTTCTGTGTTCGGAGTCAGTTGGACGGAAGAACCAAGGAGAGGCAATCGCGATCAAGTAGGCAACAACGTGCCAGTAAGTACAGTACACTAATAAAACTTAGTATCAAATTAGCCGGCTATTGTTGGATATGGGGTTCAGTCCCATGAGGAGTCTACTTGTTGGCCCTGAACACTAAGTCCATCCCCCTCAACTTACACCCCCGCCTGGCAGGCAATGCCTCTGACCTTGATACCTTGGTGGCTGGGATGAAGCAGAGAAGCAGCCTGGTGCAGCGTTCGTTTCGGCCTTCCTGGCTCCAGGCGCCGCCGCGAAGACATGGTGCGAAGATCTGGAAAGTTTCTTCCAAAGAGTCACAACATGAAAGAAAGAACAATTCCTGGACAGCGGAGGCCGTGTTTTTTTTCCAGAAAGAAGTCCAGAAGTCCAAATAAATAACAATATATGCCAATCAATCGACCCCCAAAACCACCCTAACTGATCGGCATATACCTAGATCTTCAGTCCGGCACTTTTACAGGGTCCGGCGCCGGACTTCCAACTCCGGCGTTTTTCTGGATTTGGTCCGGCGGTTTTTCCAAGTCACTTGAAATGTGGATTCTCAAGGCTTTGCATTCTTTGTGGCTTGCATTTCTTTGAAGGTAATGATTTGCTTGCAAAGTGTGCTCATTTGCCTGTTCCGCTGTTTTCTCATTCCACCGGTTTCAGCATGGTTCACACTGGATCAATCAGATCCGTTTAGGTGATCTTCTAAGTGAAATCGGATGAAATTGGTACAGTGCGATGCACGTGTTGAAAGACCCAAGTGGGAGTACCTAAGCTGAAAGAACATAGGCAAAGATGTACTCCCATTGTTTCAGGATGTCAGGGCGCTGGGATATAATTAGTTCTAGTTGCGCAGGATTGCAGAGCCTGCCGGACAAGTTTTGGGCTGTGGAACATGTGTTGTTCAGAATCTCAATGTTTTGCAGAGAGTTGCTAAGAAAAATTGCACGTCGTAACTCCGGCGTTTTTTCCCGTAACTCCGGCGTAATTTCCCGTAACTCCGGCGTAATTTCCCGTAACTCCGGCGTATTTTGTTGGACTCAGTCTTTTGAATTTTGAAAAGTTTTTCAACTAAGAGTTTCGACAGGAACCATGAGTGCTGCTACTTTATTGGCGGGGCCGTCCTGAGGCAAGCAATAAAAAACAATTTAAAACCATATAAGAATCATGGAGAGCCACTTTGTAAAAAACAATTTAGAGACACGGGTGCAGAGAAATAGGGGTTCCTTGCCACATACTCCTTGGTTTCTTCTTGGAAGTCTTTGCTTGGGCACAAGTTTGCTTATATTTTGTGATGGTTCTGCTCTTAGGCCATTCGGAAGATGGGCGAGGGCAATGGGAACGGGAAGGCTCCAGTGCTGGGTTGTGGAATGAGTGTGTTCCAGAAAAAACTACTTGTGGCGCAAAGGCAGTTTGCTTGTGTATGATCCAGCCTTTTATCATCTCTGCTTTTCAGAATCTTGGATCCGGATGTTTTTTCAGGTCTCCGGCGTTTTTTTCGGAATCCGGCGGAAAAATTTGCCGGATTGAGGTCCGGCACTTTTTTCCGCCCAAAGGAGGATCCAGGTATGGCAGTCCCATGGAGTGTCTGGGATATACTACCAAGTGGATGTGGAGGGCTGTTTCCGTCGCTGCAGTGTCGTCCCGCGAATGTGTCCAGTTCGACGAGAATGTGTTCGCAGGTCTCCCAAAGAAACAGAAACGGTGTCCAATAAATTATTTGTAGATCTACTGATTATTTTGGGGTCTATGTATACATAAGGCCATAGACCCAAAAACCTTAGCAACTGGTAACTGGGACCCACTGGGTTCCAAAACTGAGATCACGTACCTTACACAGGCCGACTGGTCATGTCATGTGCCAACTTCTTTTGTTTTCGGAGGCCATGGCCTCCCAGTTGGCCGCTGAGCCTACTCGTCCACCAGAGGCTGCCCGGCACTTGTGACCAGCGATTTCCCGCTGCAATGGGATGGTCATGTAGCCTTATAGCTTTCGAAACATGGCATCACGGCATCATTGCGTATGTCGGATTTGGGGGCAGTTTTCACAATGTTTTGTTTGTTTGTTGGTTGGTTGGTTTGTTCGTGTTTTGAATGCTTCAGGGGGGCGGCAATGTGTTTCCAGAATTCGCCCCCCCCAAAAAAGCACGCTGTTTTTTTTGCGAACAGGCAAGCTCACAATCCTTCATGGAACACAGGGGTCCTGAACATGATTCTTCTTTTGGTGGGCATGGTCCCACCATGTTCCCACCCTGCAGCTGCAAAACCAGAAGCCGAAGGATCGTCCTGTGAAAGCGAAACTACTTGCCCAGCGCCAGCGCTCAAAACCCGCTCCAAACAACTCGAGGCCCCTATATACTCAGCTACGTTCTCATTGCCAAATCCTAGAGTGAGCCGTTTTTGCTTCACATGTTTGGGCGCCGGATGAAGATCAACCTCGCTGAAGAACAAACAAAACGACATTCCTGTTGCTTTTACATCATTTGGTTTTGCTTAGGATCCTGATTTCCTCATTTTGCCTATTTTTGGGGTGAATCCCCCTAGGCCCTATATAACCTGCAGAAGTCGTTTCTCCGGTTCCTGGACAACTCATGTCTAGACATCGCGCCATCGCTTTTCAGGAGCAGCAACTCCTGGACTCCTTCGCAGAGCTGTTCGAAGCCCCTGCCGAGCACCAGGCCTCCAGCAGCACCTGCGCCCACTCCTGGAGTGGAGGCGCCGAGGGAAATGGCGACGTCCGGACCGTGGCATGGTTTTCAGGATAGGATGACCACTTTTGGAGGAGTATGGCCATCTAACGTCAGGGCATCTAACTGGGCAGTTCCCACCAGGTCGCCTACCGGAGAAAAGCCGGTGGCTGACCAAACCATCGACCAAACGGAACCGGGCCCCCCGTCAGGTCCGGAACCGGAGACCGGAGACGGCGGAGGTCGGTGCTGGGCAAGGATCTAATGGCTTTTTGATTGATAAGCCCCCCGATATGAAGAGGATGTCCCATTCAAACTGGGGGGTTTATTCATCAAGAGTCTACATTAATTAAGATGACTGGACATGAAACTTGAGTCAGTCAGAGCTTTTGAGATGCTGTGAGGCATAGACCGGACAGGTGCATGGACTGGGTGCATGGTCCCATGGCACTGTGGACGTTTGACACGGGCATGCTGATAGTTGCTGCGACGTTTGACACCTGTGAGTAGCTGTTTGTTGACCATGTGTCTAGACTTCAATGACATAGGCTCGTGATGTCGTGTGCCCGGCAACTGAACCAGCCCGAAAAAACCTCCTCCTCGCACAGCGATTCGGTTGGAGCTCGTGATCCCCAGCATGCCTGGGGCTTTGGCATATAGCGACCTCGTGCTCTTTCCGACCTCGTCGTGCTCTCGACTACCCCACCCAGTGACAACATAGCTGCTAGTAACTATAGCAAGTGAGAGGAAATTTAGATGAACCGCCCCAGTCATGCATGGTGTCATGATGCTGCTTCAAACTCCATACTTAGCGACCGGAAGTCGAGGACTTAACTCTTCAAGCCTTCTTCCTGGCCAACTGATAGGTGCATTGGACATGGTCAACTTGAAGCCAGACTGCTCCCTACCTTTGCAGAGTTCGGGATCGCGGGGTCATGGATCTGCCCGGAGGCCCCGCGAGTGAACCGAACCGACCCCCCGAACCACCCGGCCTCGTCATTAACTCAAAACAGAGGTCATGTTTTGGGCTCTATAGGTGGAAGGTGGGCAGATCATATAGGCAGATGAGCAGAACATCCACAGACGGGCTCCTGTCGCACCTTCTACGAAGGTGTTTGGGGTGGGTGCCAGGAGGGTCCAAATACTTTCTGAGGAGGTACTTGGAGCCCTAGCTACTTCAGAAAAGATCCGCGGAGCTATAAGCATCATTAAGCATCGCTTGAGCTCCAACACTCCAGCCATCGCCAAAAGGATTTTTGCACGGGAAAAAACGGGTATGTGGGCACGGGGGTGAAAATCCATGGTTTCCGGATGTTTCCGGGTAGATGGTTCAAACAACTAGGACCATTCATTGACCTATATATATATAGAGATGGTGCTTCGTATACAGCTTTTCTTCCTTTCCGTCGACCTTGTGAGACCCGCCCAGGCTTTCGCACCTTAGGACTCTGCCGAATGCAGACTCACAGCAGCTTCCCATCGATCCCCTCCTCCTCGGAGGCCGTCCTCCGGCCGCGCGACCCGGGCGCGCGACCCGGCGACCGGGGCCGAGGCCGTTTGGTTTCCCACCATGGGGTGGCCATGTGACCGTACCTGGGGCACCCAGTGGGGGTTGGTCGAACCGAACCAGTGAGGGTTCGCATGGGACGAACCGCTGGGGAAACCACGGCGAGGGCCTCCGCTGGTTTCCATCGTGTTCTGCGGAGTTCCGGGGATCCGCACGAAGAACGATGCGCTACGTGTGGGCAACAGGTTGAGCTGATGGTGGACTGATCAAATGGAGAACTTGACGGCACCTGACGGCACATGGACTGATGCAAAAGCCAAGGACGCCAGACAAGTGCTGTCGACATGCACCAATTGGTGAAGTAACATCCATGACTTGCTCACATCATCCGTTACAATGTTTAAACTGCTCAGAATCAGTTGGGCAGTTGCGAAGCTGCTAGCAAGTATAGAAATAAATATGACATGTCAACATGCTTCAGAGTTGCAATAGCCCCACCATGTCAGTGGAATTGCAAACGACTTACCCCAGTGAAAACTAACATAGACCCCCTTTTCAGGCCTGGTGCAGCTAGAGGAAAACAGTCGGACTGAGGGTGCCAGGGGTCATAGGGGTCCATGTGAGTTTTCGGGAGGTGTAGTTTTAGTCACCCTAGACCATCGAAGCATCAGAAACTAATACAACAACCCAATCGTACTAGAATATTTTAGCCGTTGGAAGGTCTAGGACCTTTACGAGGATGAGTCTCACCCTGTCCCAGACCATCCATGTCATGTATATGGAATAGTTTACCCTAGGGCTCGTGTCCCATATCCTCAGGTTCGGTGGTTAGACCCCCCGAACCCACCCCAACCATCTTCTCAGGAGGTGGTTGGAGCCCTAGGGTTAATACATTCATTTACCCCTTTGATGGCCCTAATGCGGGTAACGGGTCACATTAGCTAACTATTCCAGACCCAATCGTTTGGTCTGGGAGGTCTACCACTAATACACCGCCTCTCCGGGCTTCCTCTCCAGGCCGATGCGGCGGAGTTCCTCGAGGAGGTCGCCGAGGACGACGCCTCGCCCGCGCCGCCGTCGCCGCACTCCGCCGCCTCGCCCCGGGTGCTGAATCTGCAGCGGCGCCTCGGTCGGAGGTTTTGAAGAAGCCCGATCGGTGCAAGGTGAGTGGACGGTGCGAGGTGAGCTCTTCCGATTCGTCCTTTGATGTTGTTTTTGTTGTTGTTTTTTGGGGGATCTGTGAATCTGTGCTGCTTGGAAGGCGTTCAAAAGGGGTGGTCCGGTTCGTTCACGGCTGACGTCACTAAGTTCTTCTC